GGTGCAGTTCACCATTAGCTAAAGCAGAGGCTGCTCCTTGTAGGTCCACAGAACCTGGAGAGTCAGTGGGCAGCAAAATTGCATTTTAAAGTCATGTTTAATTTTTAAAGAATAAATATTAGGGAAAAGGTACTAAGATTTCTGCATGACATCCTCCGTTTTGCAGAGGGGTGGCAGCAAGGCCAGGCTATGCCCTGCCGATCCTCAAGGTGGCTATCTCTGCACAGCTGTACCGCCGCCTTGATGCTACCACACAATGCATTGGCCTGCCTGCTGTAAATCCCGTTCTCCCCAGTTTCATTATGTTTACGTTTTGGGTATAAATAAAATACAGGTGGAACGTGACTGTAAGCACTAGCCTAAGTACACCATAACTACATTTGAGAGGAAAAGGGGACGGACGCGTTATAAGAATGGAATATCGAAATACTTGATAGGAATGACTGCATGGGGTATAGACCTAATAACTCAAACCCAAATATTTTAAAACATTTTTGTATCCTGTGTAGTTATGTGCTTAACCCTCTGTGATTTCAGCAGGAAAACCGACCGACGTGGACCATTTAAAAGCCTGTCACTCTACAGACAGAACAGTGCTTGTGAAACGCAGCCCCAGCTAACACCCCCCTGACCCCCGGGCTGGCAGCGGGGCTCTGTGTCACTGCCAGCCCCCAGATGAAAGGCAGCCCAAGGCTCTTGTTTACTCTAGAGCTCCTTCGTACTCCCTCAGAAGTAGAAAGGAGTTGCGGGGTGATAACAGGGCTTTGGCAGTGCAAAAGGGGCCTGTTACGTTTCTTTCATGTTGAAAACCCTGTCAGTAACACCTGCACGAGGTCTTTGCCATTAAACGGCGAATTATTTCTTTTAAACTACACTCCTCCTAAAAGAGACATGTTTTGTAATAACAAAGTAGGATAAACAAATTCCACTTTCAAATGACACAACACTATGCCATTAAACGTTGTATAAATAGCATAGAAGAGAATTTAGTGCTGTGCCAGGATGGGGGTATGGTATTCATTTATCACAGCAGCACCCCAAAAGTGCAGAATATTCACGCAGAACAGCTGGATTTTTCTGCTACTTCAAACATGGAAATGGTAGGTATTTATCCAGCTGCATTACAAAAAGAGAGCAAAGGTTCTTGTAGAAGCATCAAAGACAACATTACAGCACTTTCTAAATATTAGTTATGTGATAAAAGGGGACTTGGATAAATACATTAGGTATTTCTGCCTCCTCTTGTTTTTTCTCATTATCTACAGTTCTAATGAATGATTTGGTAAAATAAATAAGGTTTAGTTACATAGTTTGGGGCCTGAGAGGGAAAAGCTGCACAGACTCTATGAGGTTGCCTAAAACTGTATTTCTTAGGGCAGAAGCTGAGGAGTATTTTGTAATAGGGATATTACAGCCCACATTCTTGAACAAGAATAAGACCTTGCTGTGCCTATAATAAAATGCCAATAAAATCTGGCAGCAAACTGCAGTTTCTATATAACATCGGTTTATCTCGCAATTTTTCAAGCTGATACCAGCTTTGTATTCCATGGTTAAACACTGTGTCTGTCTGGGTTTATGTAATCTGTCTGATTGGGAGAATGTGAACTGCCCAAATCAGGGGATAAAGCAAGGTTTTGCACTATTGCAGCAGTCCCTTCTGGTCCTTTAACTATTAAAAGCCCAAACAGAGTCTTTCCAGACAGGCATCCTTAACGCGGCATTGCAAGGCTGGCGCATCTTGGTTACCAAGTTTTAGACAAACTTCCAGGTTAGTCTTCCTAAAATGAGTCCTTTCATCTTAAGTTGGTACAGGGGACTTAACTGCTATGACAACCACTTCTATGCACTGCGGTGTTCTGATTTTAACCTTGCCTTGCTCCTCAGTTGTTGCAGAGCACTCTTTTCTCCATGTCCCTGGGTAGATGCATTTTAACAGTGTGCTCTTTATGTGTGCCAGACAAAGTCAGCGCTTTCACAGAATGCAAACTCGGGGGAAGCCAGTGCACGAGGATCCCTTTTTCCACCACTGTGACAAAATATGCTTTTCCACTAAAATCTGCCAGTTTTACAAATAGTCAGATCAATCAATGGTGTAAGTGCACTTGCCGATCTCTCAGAAAAGTATGCTGCCATTGGGAAAATTCCCTTTTTCCACTGTGTAACCCTTTACACAGTATTTGACTGTTGGAAGCGGAGCAGAGAATGTAAAAAGAAAAATACTAGTTATGCATTCTGCTAGCAAACACCACCGTATACTCCAGACTTTTTTGGAGTGTGCTCATCAAGTAGACATTTAGGAAAGTGAAATGCTGCCAGACTAACAACGCTGGGTCCCAGGGAAGGGCCAGGGGCTGTCTGGACCAAACCCGAGCTCGTGGGAGGAGGATGAGGAACAGCCTGCTAAACCTGCTGGGGGTGTCACAGCTCCTGAGCATGGGGAACCCCTTCAGGAACCAGCTGTGACCGTCATCGCTGGCTCTACTGAGGCAGGCAGAGTTCTTGCAGAACACCCCTGATTTATAAATTATTTCATATCAGTCAGCCATGCACATAACAACAGATTTCAATTTTTTTTTTATCATCCAGGTTAATTTGATTAGGACCTACTTATTCTGAAATAATTGAAAATAGAGGTCATACTTAATATACTGAAAAATGTACTCTCCTCTTTTCTTTTAGCTTTATCAAGAGCAGGACAATAGCACTAAGCATCACAAACTTTTGGCAACACATAAATTAACAGATTCAGAATTCAAAGCTTAGATACATCTGTGAGTTGTCAGCGTGAGTGAAAAGCACTGAAATCCCCCTTGGTTTTTGCTCACAATTGTAACCAAACCCATAAATCTAACTTTAAAGGAACGAGACTTGAGCCAGAAACCCATGCCTTGTCTACACTTAAAAGGGTTGGCTGGTATAGCTACACCTTAGAGCTGTATTGGCAAGCACAGATTTCTTTTCTGGTGTAACTTAAATCGCTTTCCGCATGGAACATGCTAAACTGGCTAAAGGACTCTGCCAATATAATGGCATTTACACTAGGGCTTTTGCCAGGATGGCTGTAGCTGCATGGGAGTGATTTTTCATCATTCTGACAGCTATTTTGGCAAAACTTCCACATTTAGACTGAGTCCAAGTTAAAGTTGGCATTGTTTTATGTTGCAAAGAAAGCAGCAGAGAAGCGTTGCCAGTTTATGGCCCTGGTTTTACATTATTCTAAATTGTTTGTTCTGAAGGAATGTGTGGGGCAGGATCCATGTGGTCCTTTGGATGTTTGCCTCCCACATTTGTGCTGCATTAAAATCGCTTGGTTTTTCAGTGAGTGAGCTTTGGCAATGGGGAAACTCACATTACTAAAAAAAGATAGCATCCATATTATTCACCCCAGAAACAGCTATCCCGATGCTTTAAAGCAAATTTCCAAAGTGAAGTGAACTGAAAAGGGAAGCATCAGGGCCAAAGGACATGTGGATTAATGCATCGTTCTTCTTTTCTTTGTTGAACTGAGGACAAAGTGTTTAAGCACGGGATTAATTTTAGGCACACACACAAGCCCATTTCAACTCTAGTAGTCACGTCAGATATGATAATGCTCCTTTTCGAACTTTAATTAAGCAGATATTTGAAATTAATCATATGTTTAAGCACTGTGCAGAATTGGGATTTCTGTCAGAAGTGCAAGTTTACATAGAGTGAGGCTATTTATTGGGGTACCATCTGCATTTTCTTTTCTGAACTGGATGGTAAGTCTGTATTTTAAAGCTGTCCCAAAGGGTGTATTTTTCCATGTAAGTACATTTACATATTTGGCTCTTTTTTTTCCTAATCTCTCTTTGGCTAAGTGTGGGGCTTTTATTTCGGTTTCAGAAATCCACGCAGGGAAGTTTACATTGATTTTGTAATTGTATTTACTGTCAGACCCTCTCCTCTGCCAGACTTTGTGTTTGCAGGTGCAGTGCTGAGGCTGGGGTTTGCGGAGCCGCTCGGCGGACGCCGGCCGTGCCTGGCCCGCAGCGAGCGCGAGGGCTGGGGCAGGCAGATAGGAAACTTCATGCGTAATCAGTCAGCACCGCACCAGTGAGCCAATTGGACGAGGAAGTCTGATTTAATCAAGGCTTCTTCCTTCCTTTTTGTAAAACACAGAATGTGCCTGTCGGGAGAGAACACAGACATCTTTCTCTGCGTTTTGAAAATGCGAAGCAGGCTTTTCGTGACTTCGGCCAGGCTACACGTGCACCACAACTGAAAGCCCTTCAGGAGCCTGCAGGTGAGTGTTCTGGGCACTTCGGTTTCTAGTGGCACTTGTAGCTCAGGGAAGCAGTTGGAGTGGCATTTACCCTGAAACGGAACAGGATGGGTGTCTGTTCGAAGTAAAGTTGTGTAATTTGTTGCAGCGGTTTTGTATTGTTTTGGATTTTTTTTAATATGTAAAAAAAAAATAAATCGTAGCTTAATTAAAAGAGCTTACAATGATTTTCAAGCTGGGAAAATGAGATTTTAGATGAAGCTTTCAAGGCAGAAGACTTGCGTATCATAATGTTCACTTCTGCATTCTTCTGTTTACAAGTGTGTTGTGGTTCTCTGGTAAGTCATGTTTTAAAGTAGTATTTTTATATATATACACACACATATATGCATATTTTACGTATATAAAGTTATATATAAAAAGATATATGTCTGGAATATAAATACATGGTTGTTTATAAGGTTATACCAACTCACAACTTAAGGAGGACTAGAACAGTGAGAACGTTCACCTCCTAGTCCGACGTCCAAAAATAAGGGCTTCCCTGATGCTCTTACAAAGGGGGATGACAACATGTGTGTACTTGCTCAACCAAGCCAGGCAAAGGAGGGGTTTCTGTTAGAGAAAACTAGTTTGCACTTCCATTATTTCCAGTGGGGAAAGTAATTGCTTTTCTTTTTATAGCCTTGCAGTTTGCCAGAAATCACCAGGTCTGCTGAAGAAGTTTCCTCACCTCTGCATTGCGTAACTGCCTGGTAGAGGAGGGGAGGCGAAAGGATATGTAGTAACATCCCTGTTCCTAAACCCTCTCATTACTTAAGAACCACTGCTTGGGCCTTGTTTTTACATTTGTAGCAGGGAGACTTAGTTTTTTTAAAAGTAGCTCGTTCCATTTTGTGATTTTCATCTGTTGGCTGGATTGTAAGCAACACCTCTCATGATAACTGACAGAACACAGCGCCCTGGCAAAGTTGTTAGGAAGCTCTTAGAACTTTTTCAACTGCTACTATAACACAATGGTTTAATGGGTAGGGTGTTTTTTTTTAAAAAAAACAAACATCCTGGGGAGACATTTGTGCAGCAGAATGGCCTTTTTGGTCTATGGAGCAGGAGTATATTGTGTTGGGCATTTTATCAGTATGTGGTAAAATAATAGTCCTGGCAGAACAGATCTACTACAAGCATAACATATAGGTTAAAAAGACAAGTAAAAGGAGAATTCTTCTCTATAATAATTAGAAATCTCGGTTTTCCTCCCACCTAGCCATTGTCAGATTCAGTTGTTTTGTTCTCACAGTACAGAAACAAGTCTCTGGGGAGAATTTCAAACTGTGAAATATGCCAAAAGTATTGTACTATTCTAGATATCAGCCCTATTTTGCCCTACAGGTTGCGATTAAAAACAGATGGCAAGTTTTGGAGTCTTAAGAACAGTAAATTCTAGCAGTATAAGAGAGCCAAGCTGCTAGTTATAGTAATTATCTCCAAGATTCTAGTTTATTGGAACTCTTACTTGCAAGCTTGAGGGCAAAATACAAGGAGAAAAAAATCTGCCCCCACTGAAGTTTATGACAGAATTCTCATAATGGAGTTCCCCACCTAATCTTATGCAGCATAACTTATTACAGTTTTCATCTTTGATTTTAATCTGCCAAAAAGATCTCCAAACACTTTCAGTGGCAATGGTAATAGGACTGATAGCTATGTAGATAGTTCTGTTTATTACTTTATTTTTTTATAAAACTGCAGTTGCCCTCGTACAAGTTCACAGAGAACAATGAATAAGTCAATAAAAAAGATTACCAGACTGGATGCTTTAGAGGCACACTACTAAGAAATGTCCTATTTTTTGTAATCTTTCAGTGATAGCTTGCAATGGACCAAGACGCGCACCGCACAGCAGAAAGGGAACTGTTGGAAGCTGTAAGCAGGATTACTACATTTTCTACAAGCCCTTCTGATGAAGAACAAAATCAACCCAAAGCTGAAATTTCACATCAAGAGAGAAAGGAAAACCCAGAAAAAGATGACCTGCAAGGTAGATGCTATCCTTTAAATTTATTTTTCATGTAGCTATTTATGCCGTTTATCTTTTATATAGCAAACTTTGCTTTATTTATTGCAGCAGCGGTCCAGATTTACACTGCTATACTCCACTGGAAATAAGCCTTGATTAAACTCGTAATAATAACGTAGCAATAGTGAAACAGATACACATCCTTGTATGTATTTGCACACACAGACTTCTCCTTTTAAATCCCTTGTGTAAATTAAATCTGGAATACATTTTAGGCACACCAGGGACCAAAACAGTGATCATCAGATGGCCTGTCTCGGGAGTGCTTTTTCTGTACATCACAAAATCTGAACTTCTTGGCAGTATCCGCAAGGACACCAAGACTGAAGCTGATCTCCAGCAGTAGTCTCTCACATGCCTTATGAAGAGGCAACACTGAACTTTTACTACGCCTAAGATTGCTGTCATCTGTTATTAAATAAAATGTTATATATAATCCAAAATATATATAATCTCATCAAGATTTTCAGCCTGCAAAGATGTCATAAACACCACCCCTCTTAGGAAATATATGCTTTGTGGAGATTGAGCCAAACCCCAAAAGCCTTGATAATTGAAACTGTATGGCCAAATGATTAAGAACATGTAAAAGTGGGGCCACTGAAGGAGTACTTTTACAATTCTATTTCTGCATCAAGCTGTTATCTTCCCATTCATTTGGGGTCATTCACCTCCACTGTCTGAATGTTAGATACATTACAGACTGACTTCAGCTGACTGCATTGACAGAGACATTATTGATTGGAAACTGGGACTGGTGTGCCCACTGAAATACAAATACTCCATTTCTTTTATCCACTTTTCTAGCCTATATGCCACCTGATGAAAACTGTTGTCAGTAGATTTCAAAGACAGAAATCCCGCTTTTGAAAAGCTGCATCAAATTCCCCTGTAAGCAAACTCTTCAAGCAGCTGTCCTACATTTTTATATATGCATATGTATATATGTTGGTGTGGGTGTAGGGGAAGAGAGAGAGGAAGGGAGGCAGGTATATAAAATATTTGTAGCTGAACTGTGGCTTAAGTTCAGCTACAAAAGAAAAAGAGGATGTGAGAATTCCTCCTTCAGCTGAGCTGGTTATCTGAGTTTCTCCTTTAAGGTTAGTATATTCATGTTTTCTCAGCTTTCACCTGTTACTGCACAAACCCAATATTTGAATAAGGTCAATATTTGAATATATGCCTGAATTTGGAGCTGCATTGTACTATCTCCTCGTTTTAGCAACAAAGCAGCTTCTGCTTCAGAAGACTGAGTCCACATTTCTCAGAGCTACTTTTGGGTTGGTGAAGCATACCTCCTGTCAAACTGTGCCTGAAGTTACAGCCTAGACATACAATACTTCTTGTCAGTATTTATTTCTATAACTTTGTATTCTGTGGCCGATTTGGCCACAGTCTATAACTTTGTATTCTGTGGCCGATTTGGTGTCTTTCAAAATTTCAGACCACAATAGCTTTTCTCAAAGAATCTGCACCTCCCTTTATTAGCATTGCTATTCCTTATTTTATTAGTCTTTAGGTCTTCCTGTTACAGCAACAGAAATTCTTGGGTGTCCTTTCACAATAAATGCGTAAGAGTTACCTTTCCAAATGTAAAGATTACAATCTGAAATACTAAATATTTTTTTCTCAGATTCCAGTGCATCCCTAAGTCCCAACTCTTCAATGACCACTAAGGAGCTTCAGGAATATTGGAGGAGTGAAAAACGCCAGTGCAGACAAGTCAAACTCCTTTTTGAAATCCCATCAACCAGAATTGTAGAGCACCACTTATCTAAATACGTGGTAAGCTAAGAAATGAATATGTAAGATGATCATTAATTTTTATTCACTCTACAGGGGTCTGCACAGCACACAGCATGCCTCTCTACATGAAAGCCTGACCAAGGGCCAAGTTTTTCAACCCATGATCACACCAAGCAGAACCTGTTCTCACTGATTGTATGGGCATAGCTGGTGGAATCTGCCCCTACAAAAATCCCTCTGACAATCAATTCACAAAATCTGCAGCAGTGGAAAAGTGATATGAAGTAAATTATATCCTTGAGTATCCTTAATACCCAGAGGCTTGTCGAAATTAAGGAAATTCACACAAGTATAAAGATATAGTTACACTTCCACTGAGCTAGCCTGCTGTAGCAGCCGCATTGCATTTGTATAACTTCCCCATCAGAGATTTATGTTAGCAGAAGTGCAAAATTCTTTGATGTTGACAATGTCTAAGACATCCTCCAGCTAGATTGCTTGGGACTGTTCCCCTTCCCTACCTAGGGCTCCATTAGATGGCATATTTCTGTCATATTTTGAAGGTGAAATGTAAGTAGAGGGAGAGGAACAACAGAATGGGTTGGATTTTTGTATCTTTACTCACTGACATTTGGGTTTTATTTGTGATTCTGCTCTTCCCTACCTAGGGCTCCATTAGATGGCATATTTCTGTCATATTTTGAAGGTGAAACGTAAGTATGAGGGAGGGGAACAACAGAATGAGTTGGATTTTTGTATCTTTACTCACTGACATTTGGGTTTTATTTGTGATTCTGCTCCTGGCCTTCAGGAGGACTGATCTAGAGCATGTGTCTTTCAGTACTCTTGTGAAATTCAGATTTCTTAGTAGAGGGAGAGGAACAACAGAATGGGTTGGATTTTTGTATCTTTACTCACTGACATTTGGTTTTTATTTGTGATTCTGCTCCTGGCCTTCAGGAGGACTGATCTAGAGCAAGTGTCTTTCAGTACCCCTGTGAAATTCAGATTCCTTGTTTTGCCACCTCTGAGATCTGTAGGTGAAAAACGCTAAGAAATCACACTTGTATTGCTGATAGTGGGTGATGCAGCAGAATTTGAAGCAGATAAGTATTCTGGAGACTGTCCTAAGATCTTGGTGCATGCTATACACACCTACTTAGATGCTGCCATTCTTGCATACACTCAATAGTATCCAGCTTGTTGAGTGGCTAAAAATTATTTTAGTATAACTGTATGAGAACACGAGTATCATTCAATGTACGTGCAGGTAGTTAAACTTAGTCATAAGTTACACACCTAGGCAAAAAGATTGACATTACAAGAAAATCGAGCCAATTTGAATGATAGTATAATTAAATGGTGTTCCTTGCCATTTTCATGCACACTCCACAAATAAAAAACCAAGTACTTGTAAATTATTCACTTAGCTACCCTTGATAAAATGATAGCTTAAAAAATTGCTCTTATGATTGTTTTGGATATGCATCAGGCATATATACACTTTTCAGCAGGGAGCAGGACAAAGTATGGGAAAATGTCACCATGCTTACAAATGATAAGAGATCAGAGAAGTCAGCTCAAATTTAGAAACCTTTCAAGGAGCGCCTGTAAAGATCATTTATGAAGATTAAAAGAGAGGAGTTCTTTTTAAGGAAAAGCAGAGAATATAATCAGACAGACACTAGTGCTGGTACAGGTTTGCACCCTTCAACAGCAGCAAAGAAAACAACTGGCATTAGTCAAATTGCTCCGTTTCCTGTATGATTCCATGAGAAGAGGGTGAAGTTGAATGTGAACACAGTCATCATCCAAAAGGCAGCGAGGTCACCAGTCCTGTCCTTAGCTGGTGTACGGTGACACAGTTAAGCTGGCCTCAGTGGAGCTCCACTGGTTTACGCACATTAGGGATTTGGCCCTTCCTCAACATCATTATGCTTGGATCAGGACCAGAAGAGAATCTATTTGTACAACACATAATACACAATTTTATTTTGCAGCTATTTTTTTAATATCGCATTTATTATAGTCATTTTGAGGCTAGTGAAGAGCTGAGGAAGACATACTCTTGAGTACTGTTAATGTGGAACAGCATTGCTGCTAGCTGTTAGTGAGGGATTTTTGGATAGCAAACAGATTTTTGTAGAAATGTCACATTTTTTGCATTATTTATATGCCAAGTAAGTTTGAATAACAGGACAATGATTTAGAGGGGAAAGAAGGGTTTGGAGTTCCTCCATCTTATTTTTGCACACACCGAGTATTACTGCCAAATACTCCCTCTTCTTTCACAGCATTAATAGCACCCCCAAATCCCTAGAAATGTCTGATACAAACAACATTTTTGAGCATTACGACCAATGTAAAATAGATTACATTCAATATTAAGTCTGGGAAATCCATTCAGTTCACTGAAGATGATTGATTGCAGCAGCCATGGCTGTTATAAACAAAGTACAGCTACAGAAATGCTTTCTAAGTGATTTTACGTGCTTCAGTCTGCTGGTAGTTGACCATTCCCAGCACCTCGCAGGATGGGATCTGTTAGTGTATCTGGTCTGCTGGTAGTTGACCATTCCCAGCACCTGGCAGGATGGGATCTGTTAGTGTATTGTTTATCTACAACTTATTTACGTGTTAAGGCTAAGTCTGGTGACAAAAGTCCCAAGACAGTGGGAATTATTAATTTGATGGCTGCAGATTTCAAAGATCAGGCCTCCTCTGACCATGCACCATAATCTCAGGCAGCAACTGATTTAGCAGCACAGCTATAAACCCCAGGAGTATACGAGATTACACACATAAACTTGGTGCAGGAAGGTTTCAGATGGTGGAATATACAAGGACGAAGTATTTTCAAAGAAATAACAGACAAAATCTGACTGCACTGGGGATATTATGGTCCTTTTCACGGTTATTTTTCTCTTTTATTGTGTTTAGATGTATAAAATCATCATTTTGCAAACAGGGAGTTTTGACAGCAACAAGTCTGTGATTGAACGGCGTTACTCGGATTTCGAGAAACTGCACAGAAATTTGCTGGAGGAGTTTAGTGAAGAAATGGAAGATGTGACCTTTCCCAAAAAAACTCTAACAGGGAACTTCACAGAAGAAATAATCAATGAGAGAAAATTAGCCTTCAAGGACTACCTGAGACTTCTATACTCTATGAAATATATCCGAAGATCAAAAAAATTTATCGACTTTTTAACAAGACGGGAGCTTCAGGAAGCATATGGTTGCCTGCGGGGCGGCCACTACACCAAAGCTTTGGAAATCCTTTTGGAAGTCATTGGTCTGCAGGAAAGGCTGACGAGAGGCAACCCTGTCGCCATCGTCCCTACTCTCTGCGCCATCGTGGTGTGCCACAAGGATCTGGAGAACCCAGCAAGTGCCTTTGAATGTGGAGAAAAAGCTCTGTCACGCCTTCATGTGCATACCAGCCACAGGTATTATATCCCACTGTTAGAAACAATGATCACTTTGGCGTATGAACTTGGCAAGGACTTTCTGTCTTTGCAAGAAAAACTGGAAGAATGGAAGGCAAAAAAAGATCCCATACGGGTTTTCACCCTGAAAGAACTTGCAGTTCGGGAGTATGTCCAATGAACACAAGAAACAGCTTCATTAAAGAGCAAAGCTGTCAGCTCCTTTTCCTGAACACAAACTCTTGAAAAAGTAAGAACTGGAAATTACCTGTTTGGCTAACATAACTTTATATTAATAGAAAAAAGGTAAATCAAGTATTTTTCATGTTCGAAAGGGACATTACCACTTATGTTGGAAAATACTATATTTACTCTACAGATATAAGGAGCACCTAAGCTTATTAAGGCTTTTGGAAAGAAGTTTGCAACAAAAAATGATTTATGATTTGCTTACTTTGAAAAGAGCCTATTTTGTGTGAGAAGTCAGAATAGGAAAATACAATTGATAAAGCAGTTATGAACCTGCAGAAACAGAGCTGTTACTTGCTCATATGGAAACGACTTCCTTTCAAGAAGAGAGATATCTTCTGTTGATGCAATCGAAGGGATGCACCTTCAGACACTGAATGTAGTTTTTCATTCCTCCAGCTGAAACCTGGTCAAACAACACTTGCCATTTCTGAGAACAATGGGATTGGTCCTGTTCCCACTGAAGTCAATTGCCGTGGGTGGGAGGACCTGGGGGGGGAGGTTTACAATCAACTTTGTTAAGAGCAAAAAATACAAGCGATGATCATTCCATCAGAGATGAGGGAATATGCTTCATTTCCCTTTTGTAGCTGATACAGTTTTATCGCTTGCATTAAAGGCACATTCTTGTTTGGGGTGATCTTTAAGTACAGCTCTGACTGGGCTAGAAAATTCATACCACGTGCTCTATATACATAATGGAAAGGAACCGCAGAGGAGTGCTGCTGAAGAGAACATCTGGCTAATATAATGCTAGCATTTAATTCTGATTGTCAAGCTGTGAGACACATGGTTAACAGACAGTGTGTGTTAGGGATGTGCTTCCCTGTTGCCTTTCAGAAGTTTATGACAATTGGGCATTGCCTTAGTTTTACAGCCTGGTACACCATACAGATATTATCTTGGTGGCACTGAGATATTATAGCTAATTTTTTCAGGGATCCAACCCACATATACCAATACTAAGCTTGTCTTGGCCCTAACACTCCTATGAAAACTTCCCAAGAGCTGAAGAAGTCTCTATTTACCTGCTTCTGTAATTTCCCTCAACTCTATTACCTCTCCCATACAGTTATTTTAATCATCTGGTAAATTAATTCTCATAAATTTTGTAATTAACATGTCATGCTAGCATGGGTCATTATTCTCTGCTGCGCATAGTCCACTGAATACTTTCAGGCCTGTACTACAGGCATGGATACTAGATACATCACAATGACACTGTCTATAAATTAGGAATAACTATATTACCTTACCTCCCAGACACATAAAAGAATTGCATAATTGAAAGTGCACTGAACCTGAAAAACATTGCTGTGCATTGTTACCAGGATGGCTTAGAAAAAATACAGAATAATGGGAGTGTCTAGGGTGGAAAGTTAATATTGTAAGTAGCTGTTAACAGCTAGGAATTAAACTCAAAATATGTGGACTATCTGTTACTTGACATTTACTATTTTTTCAAGTTATACCAGACGTAAGAGAATTAAGAGTAATTAATTAAGAGACTTAAGGACTAATCTTACCACAACATACCATACTGAAGGACAGCTAAAATGGATCAAAAGGAACACCTACTTAGAGGATCATGTCTGAATCGGTAACAAAGGGGTGAAGGAAAAAGCTTGTCTGAGGTCTGCACCGCAGTCGGGCAACTTGGAGTTAAGGCAGAAAGAAAGCATGGCCATCGTGCTGCTCTATCTCCTCAGCACTTTTTGGTGAAAGACCAACAGAATAAGGAAAAATAATTTTTTCCCTTTTGCTCCCTCCCCTCATTGTGTGCAGCATCTGAGGCTCAGCTGCCTTGGATTCTCCTCAGGTTCCTATGGGACTGTAAGCGAGTAGCTAATCATGTCCACAGACCCACACCTACAGCTGACTACAAGATTAGATAAGTACATGCTGTCTAGCAATTATAAGTACTAGGAAAGCAGCACACCAGAGACATCTTACTTAACCTTTACTCATGGTACTACTGTAACTTTCCATCTCTGAAGGATTAGCTGATCCAAAGCTTTGTTGGCATGGCAGTGCACATTAGGAATATGAGGAGGTGCTATTTGGCTAAGAGAAAAATCTACAGAATTCAAAAGGCACTAAAATAAACAGTGCCAAAACCCCTCACTGTTTTGTTGGTATAAGCCAAACTTCTTCTGAGAATGCTTTTCCATATAACGTAGTGGCAGAGTTTTGTCAGCAAAACAGTCCTAGAATAGGTCACTTTGTCCCTATGCACCAGAAGGCAGAGGTCAGTCTCCTTGTATTGTGGGGGGAAATTAACTAAATAAGTACAGGAATGGTGTGAAGAAAGAACAATGTGTCGGATAATTCCCCCTACACTGAACTACTTTACTGGAGAGCCCTTTCAGCAGGGCAGCTCTGGCACCCAGTCATCCATGATGTCTTCAGAGCTACCTGGGGAGAACGTATCATCTCCCTCACTCAGAGGGCAGATTTCAGTTCTGCTGCATTGAGACTTCCAGTCAAGGCACTTCATGCATGAATCCACAGAGCCTACAGCATGTGTCATCAAAGGGTCCCCTCCCAGACCAGCAATCCGACCAGGACCTAACAAAGGGTCAAGTGCAGCAATCATAAAATCAGTTTGGGATTTCATTACTGTTACAGTAGGACAAAATTACAACCTCCCCCAACAATTCAACCCCCCCCAAGCAAATCACGTACATGTTGCCTTCCTACAAATGCAAAGCCTCTGACCTTCAGATTTATTAATCTCTTCAGAGATGACATGGAAAATCCCTTGAAAGAGAAAGCTAGTATGGTGCTGGCAATAAATGGGGACCCACAGGGCCGGGATTTCACCTGGAGCTCTGCCAGAGATGTGGTCTGAACTTTGCACAAGTAACAACCTCTGTGCCCCTATTTCATCACCCAGTACTTCCCCAGTAAAGTTTCCTTGTTCAGGTTTTCAGTTCTTACTGAACAGAAAAGCTGTGAAACTTGACCAAATATGTTAACTCCCAACATTTAGCTTAGAAATGTGCACTGGGATGGAGGCAATTTTGATTTGTACAAGCCTATTTCATTTCTTGAAATGGAAGAGAACTTGTAAGTTGACAGTAAGTTGCCAAATCTGTGTGCTTATTGTTGATTGCATAGTTTCTTACTAATGCAGTCTTATTTTAGAATCAGGTGTTACTTTCCTTAAACACTAGAGAAATGACAATATTATCTATTTATTGTGCTGGACTGTAGTGAGACTGTGCTGGCCCATCAGCTCCATAGGCAATCGGCCAGTTCTAATTTCTTAACTGTGTACTCTCAGAGACTGGTTGGACTTGCCAAAAGAATTCTGCTTTCATTTACTCACATTTCAAAAGTCAACTTCTGTATATTCTTTTTCACTTGATTTTTACAGCAAAGTGAGTGTCCAGCAGTTACATGCTATTAAACCAGAAGGTGATGGCATTTCTGCTCCCATGCTGGCCTTGCTGTGTTCCACATGGAAGGACAGCCTGCAAGGACCGGTTTCCCTCTGCTTGTACATGCAACTTTATCTTTCACAGTCAAAATGTGTAGCCAGGTAGGGCTGATCTCCTGCAGGGAGTCAGAGAAGATCAGTCTCTTTGCCCACTAACATTGCCCAGTGCAGGAATACAGTAGGGGCTGCAGAACCCTCATTCATGAATTGAATAGGTCCTGATTTTTAAATTACAAGTATAAAAATTAAATGGGTGCTCTCCACCTGCCACCACATCTTGGTTTTTCTCTGAACAATGTTTTAAGAATGGCTCAAAAAGGAAATAGTGAACATTTTCATCCACACCTACTTGTCTTGCTTATCTGTTGCCCTTCCCTAACTCCTGTCAAGAAGCCACTAGAGAAACGATGACTAAAATCCTTGCGCACTCTCCCTGGGGTTGTCTCCCTGCAGGCTGTCCCACATCCCACCTTTCCAGGGCCAGCACAAGGGAACAGCACTGCATCAGCAAAGCTATTTTGGAAGAAGAAAACTCTGGCACTACCACACATGCAAGAACGGAACATAAATTAAGCAAGCAGGTGGCTCCCACTTCCAGACAGCCATTTTCCTTTCACTCTTCATTGCTGTACAATATTTGAGTGATAAAAGCCTGTTTTATAAATAAATCCATTTCATCCATTTCCTGTCTCCCAAAACAACGTGTGCTTTCTACAAAAAATGTCTTTGGTTTAATAAAATAAATGGAAATGAGCAGTTGCTGGCATTTGTCCTGTTTGCATTATTAACATTCATCAGCCACTCTCTGTACCTGGAAGGCAGCTGGAGTCAACAGACAGAATGTCTGGAGACCCAAGCTCTGTGCTTGGCAGTGTCACAAGCCCACTGAGTGACCTTCATCAAGTCTAATCAAATCTCAGATTTCTTTGGAATACCAATATTGCTTTGCTCTCTTCTACAGAGCTATGTTTTACTTATATTTTTATCAGAACATTCCAATGTATCATTTTCCCCATTTTACAGCTGGGGGAATTGTGGTACAAATAAGAGAAGTGATTTTTCCCAAAGTCTACTGCAGTGTTCTGGAGCCCACACTAATTGTCTGGAGAAATAGCTGAGCACCACTGGCATCACAGCTTTGCAAAACACATATCACAGTTGCATTTTCTTAAGTTCCTCTTGCACAGACAACCACAACACAGCTCAATTTTTGCCTGATACCGTACACCTGAGACAAACAGGTCTTTCTCTGGAAGAGAAAACAGTTGAGTAAGTCTGACTAATTAATATATTTTAAGAACTAATAAGTGGTTGAATAGGGAAAATATTTTAACCACTACTTTATAAAAATAACAAAGCAGCAAGTCTTGCCTAAGAGATTTTTAGAAGATATAAAAAAACCCTCAAGGCTTCAATATCATTTTCCACAAGAAAGAACAGAAAAATATTTTCAAATACATTTTTCCAGTTTTAAGCATTTCTTAGAATTCCGGTATTTCTTTCCCCTGCTCTTGTAGTCTAAACAAGAAGAATCACGCAACCACCGGAGAGTAGGAGAGTCCCATATATGCGAGCAATCTGTTATTACCCACTTTTCTCAACAACAGCACACAATGCATCAGAGCTTTTCAGTATGATCTTACTCTTCACATGGTCATCGACACATCTGAAGTATACTTGTAATGGATAACAATCCAAGTATAAATTCACATTTAAAGTTTTTCCAGAAAAAAATGTCAAAAAAAGAAAATACTGTCCAACCAACATCTGCCTAGTATGTCTAACAAACCACAGGCTGCATACATACAAGCTAGAAGAAAATTTAAATAAAATCTGGGCAGATCATCACCAAGAGTCCATGGAGAGTTGTATTACGATCTATTGAGCTTTGTCCCATTTCCATATCAATTATTATATCATTTGGGGCATTAAGTAGATAATACTGTTTACACAACTTTCTAAAATAACTAAAGAAGCCCATGAGGATGCCTAGTTACTTATGAAACATATGCAGACAAGATACTCTCTGTGCAATGCAGCATCTTGTTTACAGGGAATCCTGTGATCTTTATCACATACTTGTTATTAACTCCTGTTATCTGCTGCATCACTGGAGGATAATATTTGCTTTCCTGAATCTTAATAAGGCTAAATACATTTATTGAATTCAACAGATTTGTACAAGCAGCATGGGAGCCGAGTTCAGGACACAAGATGAAATCTAGGTTTTGTGGCTCAGACAGCAGCTGAGCAAATCAAATCAAGAATGTTTATTTTCTGATTAGATCAAAGGCAGGAGCAAGATATGTTGAAAAACTAAACACAGTTGTAATGGTGTAAAATACTGAATGTCAATTCCCATCTGGATGAGGTGAGAACCCCAAAGAACCAACCTATTTACATTAAGATCACATTACAACATATATTCATCACACTTTGTGAGTATATATTTGCTCTATATACATATACACAAGACACTAATTTTCATGTCAGACCAGTGAGAGTTGAGAGCAACTACAGCAAAATAAATTAAGTTATAATGTAATTGAGAGCAGAATAAGGTCTATTGTCTATATAAATATGTGCACGATCTCTATTCACAATGGATGGGTGGACGGAGAGATGGATTGATGAGTGGATAGAGCAAATAAATTTGAACGTTTTGATGCTTAATAAATGTTTGCCAAGTGTTTTAAGAAATTCAGATCAAAGCTACTTTTACAAGTACAACATGGTTATATATACATGCATAGTTTTAAATATACTACCTTCTTTTATTAGAAATAGGAATTGATCTGTAGGGATGTGATTTTTCAGGCAAGAATCATACTGAAGAGAAATAGACTGGCTGGACTTTCGTATACTAATCTCTCTAAATTAGTGTAATTTAAATATTGCTTCATTTCAGACAGCGCTAGAGTAGACTCTAACTGTGATAACCGAAAGGAAATCTTGAAGAATTGTACTGAAAATACAGAATTAAAATCCTCATATTTTCTTCTTTAGCATTTATAAAAAATTTTCCTCTGCCCTGAGAGCTGTGGCGGTGCCACTAGATGGCGCTGCAGCATTGGCAGGAGCGCAGGACCCCTGCAACCTGAAGGGAATGGCAAATAAACTTTTTTAACAAAAAGGATTTAATGACCTGACTTTTTTTTTTTTTAAATTCTACTCTAAAGTCTAACATTTAAATTTTAATACGATTAAACTAAATATATATCTATCAGTTCCATTGTGACTTCAGACTGTAGCGCCGAGCTTTCTAGCTGTCCTTCAGGACAATTTAACATAGCCCTTTATCAGCCAGCTCTACAAGCAGGCTGGAAAGCTGAAAGAGAAAATGTTCTTGCAGGCTTTTAGACCTGGTGAGTTCAAAGCCAGAGCCACTGCAGCGTCTCAGTTCCTACAGTACCTTTTCCTTCTGATCAAAAGGAACCAAGTAAAACTCACAACTCTTAAAAGAACTATCAAATAATGGGGGGAGGGAAGTAAAAATAAATGGACCCATAATGCCTTCTGAACGGTGCCAGGGAAAGTTATTGACTCCATTTTAGATAGTCGCACTCCCAAGTGTGAAAATGAGAGCTGATCCTGTTTTGAGTCCAACTGCTATAAAATATTTTAAAGCTCCATTCATTTAAGTACATAAAGGCATAAATATACTCCAAACGCTATACGTACACACATTGGATTTTGAGCATTGCCCCCTTGGTGATAACGCTGAAGAGGAAGACATGATGTCTAAACCTGGGCTGTATTTGACAGTCATCTCCTTCATCTCTGCTTTCAGTAACAAAAAATAGCAGTGTTTTTGGAAGCAGCCCCTGGAAAACAGGGCAGATCTGGCCTTACAGTTCCCTGAGTTGTGCTAATGATTTCTATCAAGTTGCTGGGATGGCCTGGATTCGGAGACTGGCTTCTCCCCCCACTGAGTGCCAGCTGCAGACCAGAGCTTGCAAGCGGATTTTGAGCATTGCCCCCTTGGTGATAACACCAAAGAGGAAGACATGATGACTAAACCTGGGCTGTATTTGACAGTCATCTCCTTCATCTCTGCTTTCAGTAACAAAAAATAGCAGTGTTTTTGGAAGCAGCCCCTGGAAAACAGGGCAGATCTGGCCTTACAGTTCCCTGAGTTGTGCTAATGATTTCTATCAAGTTGCTGGGATGGCCTGGATTCGGAGACTGGCTTCTCCCCCCACTGAGTGCCAGCTGCAGACCAGAGCTTGCAAGCAGCCTCCCCCTGCATCAAGATTTTTTTTTCCCCCCCAAAGGTTTCTGCAGAGGCTGCCAGCTTTTAAATGTGCTTGGGAAACAGCATGAGGGAACTGGGCAGTCCAGCAGCAGCAAAAAGCAGGAAGATTATGCCAAAGTCTTTGAAAGAATACCCTCAGGAGGTGAAATCTTTGAAGGGGGTCTCCCCTCCTTCCTATTCAGTTTCTTCCAAAAATACTGGAAGGAAAGAAAAAGGGAGAAGAAAAAAAAAAAAAAGAGAAAGAACAAAAAGAGAGAGAGATGCAATCTCAGAAGACGAGACATGGATTTGATTGTTTCTGTCACTGCACCTCACCTCCAGGAACAGCAGCTTAAATGTGTGCTGGGTTAGGAGGGGGGACTTCCATGGGCTCAGTAATAATATACAGTACTTTTATAGTGCTTCACATGTTGAGAACATTTTATAAATACCGGGCCTGATTAATCCAGCCTTTAAATCTGCATAAACCTTGGCAGAGGGCTCTGGTGCCCGTGAGATTATGAAGTCTGCCATGAAACTCAATTGTGACGATCAAAAAAAAAAGGAGACTCAAAAAAGGCACAGCCAGGAAGGAAAGTTTGTTATTTGGGAATCATGAAGAGAAAAAAAGAAATGTGAGAAGACGCAAACAAATGGCTGGTCAGTTGCATAACAGATGGCTGCATTTTTAGGGCTGATGTTGGGAAACTTTGGGAAAGGAAGGGCCTAAGTTTCCGTTTGTTTCATCTCTGGAGAACAAAGAGTCATGCAGATTTTTAAGGTAAAAACAGTAACTTAGAGAGACTGACAGGAAGAACTGTTTTTTTTGTTTATGCACTTACATATTTCTTATCCCGAGGAGATAGCAACTTACTTGGTTGTAAGTAAACATAAACAACGGTATACATTCTATAGGCTTCACGAGCAGCAGTAAACGCAGCTAACTTGTTCCTTGATTATTATGCTCCATGTTCCTCTGACGGGTCTGCATAGCAACTGTAAGAGGCTTGATTTGTACTGCATCAGAATGTATTTTAACCATACTTACATTTTAAATGTATTTAAAATTATGATTTGTCCTGCTGTGCAGTAGCTTAATGATAACTGACCTAATTCGCCATGTAAGTCTCTTGTATAGGAAAGGAATTCATTTCCCTTTGGGAAGGCAGAACACTTTGAAACAGCCTTTGTCTGCTACTGCCACCCCAAAACCCCTTCAATACCTAAGTTCAGAGGCAGAGCATGAAGGCAGCGTGAAGGAGACACTTTATCTGATCTCGGTATGTTTTCCCTATTTCTGCAACCCTGTAGCACGCCACTGATGCTCCCAATGGAGAGGATGAGGGAGCAGTAAACACAATAAACAAACAACAAGTGGAGTGCCCAGACAAAGAACGATCCCGCAGGTGATCACAGTCAGAGGAAGCACACGGTACAGCTGGGCAGATTGTTTGTGTGCCAGTCCAGAGGTTCAGTCTTTCCACTGGATGTATTTATAGCCACTATTTTACATCTGTTT